CATTTGACCAGTCTCACATGCTTGCTTCTCTGTTTAAAACCCAGCATAATTTTGGTGCCAAGACGGTGCACTTCAGATGACTGATCGGATTCTATCTATATCCTTCTTGGATAAAAAGGATTGAAAGAGGGCCTGATAATGGCTCACAACACCTTGCACACTCATGGGCACTCACTCTGTAGCTTACTGGGTGTTACTTGAAGCACTTATCTTAGAGGGTTAGTACAGAAACCAAGCCTAGAATATACTAGGTTAGATATCAGGGATAACTTTTGTTCCGTTACAGATGTTAACCCCTGGAATACTCTTCCTACACACGCGATCTAGGCTACCTTGTCTGAATTTTTCAAACGTCAGCTTGATACTCATTTCAGATGTGTGTGGAATCTGCTCAGAACCAATTGAATTTTCGCATGAACAGCCATCTTTTGCTCTCCTTTTATTTACAGACTGGTAAATATCACAAGAAGTAGTTGTTCATCGATTCCAGACCCGGTAACCAGCTAAGGGGAAGCTCTATCAACTCCATCAACAATCACCTGACCACTTGAACCATTTGGATTTTGGAAGCCCAACATTTTGTTATGAACGCTACTAGTGAGTGCGTTGCTTCTTATGGTGTACATTTTAGGAGTGTAGGAAAGCATTCTAAGTACTTGTCACCCGTAGCGGTTAATGTTATTATTATGATCGGCAGGGCCGTTACGTGAATACGAGTTTAATTAGCTGTGTTTCAACGTAAGTACCTAATTACTTGATCTGTTACCTCATTTTTTCTTTAAAGTATCTTACGTCAAACGTTAAGTGTGAAATAATTGCATATTTCGTTTTCACTGTGGTGGGTTTCGGTCCCGTTTTGCGGTAAATCTCGCTGTTGGAAATATGTGACCAGTCGAAATAAAAATTTTACTTTTGACAGTGTACCTGAATTGTTTGATTGGTAGATAGAGACTGAATAATCTTTTACTAGAAGTGCTGTGGTGCAACTGTGTGACAGTTGCAATTATAGAACTAACCTATGTTATTAGATCAAAGATATCTTTGATCTACCTTCGACATGTTGTTCAAAGATAACCTACAATAACATTTGAAGCATCTGTCGCTACTGGTATTGGTGCATCTGGATCTTTGCTAGTGTAGTGACTTTTGCAATTCAGTGAAAAATTCATTTTGTCGGTCGCGTTGATAGTAACTTATTCGTGGGAAATACTAGCTTGTTGCCATTGTCCTAACAGAAGTTGAGCTCATTTAAGGCGACAAAGTATAGTCGAAATTCACAAACTTCAGAAATCTTCATAGCTTCTAAGAAAAGCTCCAGATAGAATGCTCTTTAGTTGGTACCAATGTCTTGAGACTGGTTTAACACTGAATTCATCACAAATAGATTTGCAATAAATTCTTACACATAATTAGGTTTCTATGTCAAGGTTTGGAACTGTTTTGCAACACACGGTAACACGAGCACGGAAAACGAAATTAGGCAATACTATCACGTAATTAAATTGTTGGGTATTAGGACTGAAATTTAATAGGCAGCTAATATGTTATTTCCAGTTAGTGTTAGACTTTTGTGTTGGCGATTCCCTGCCTGTAATTCTTGAAATATCTTTCAGTACTGACGTACCATTATGAATATAAGTATAGTAGAAAATACGGGAGTTACGCAATTTTTATAAAAATTTCATTTCCATGGTGTATGGTATCTTGTCAAGTGCGAAGTTAGTCCTGACATGTCTGACAACTAAGTAAAGGTCATGTTATTCTGAAGGCATGATATGTGGTTCAGTCCTAAACTAAAAAGTAGTATTTCAATGCTTGCATCATGTTATGCATAAGTTCGCATTTTTTTATGTCATAAAACTATATCCAGGTGTCCTAATTGCTTGTTCACGGGCATATAGCATATTACAATCTAGGTCTTCTAAGGTTACTCATGTGGCAAGGTCATTGCATACTCTGTGAACCGAGTGAGGTAGTCCTCAATGTGATAATGCATGACAAAGTTGAGTAATAATGTACAGAGTGAACATCTTTAACTGACGTCATTTAAAATAAACAATTCATCTGATACCTCACCATAAGCTGTAGGACACCTACAAGTGTTCGAATATAGAGCCTTCAATAGAGCGATGTATTTAGCCTGTACCCGTTTCGGTGAAACGCACTGCCCTAAGTTTTCTGAATCGATGGAGTTGGGTTCCACCTTTGGACCAAGAAGTACGGCTGATGCGAGGCGCCAGTGTGTGTGCTTGTGTTACGAGACCTGTCCGACGATGAATGGGGAGTCGAGTGACCGACGACCAGATGTGAAATATGTTTGGTTATCTCGGTCCTGATGTTGCTTATCTTCCCAGGTGTTTAGTGGTTATGGAATTTGGGATCGTGCGTGCTATATTCTTCGAACTGACTTCTCTGTGGTTATCACAAGAGGATCTTTTTACTCTCGTGAATACTGGAACAGTCAGTAATTAGGAAGTCACAGGGGGTCATGTCTTATTCGTTTAAGCCAACAACCACTTAAATTGATGTAAGAGATAATCTCAGACCACCCTTCTTGCTGATGAGAACCTGCAGTTTCTCGTCATTTTACGTTGTTTACAGCCTTCTCAACTTCTGCAAATGTTAGAGAGCCTATTTAATACTTCATTCAGTGTGGTTGGATAGCGGGAGACCGAATAGTAGTTGGAAGCCAGTTAGACTTTTGTTCGAAGTGTTTAACTCATCATTCCAGTTGTTTTCTATGCGAGTGAATCAGATCCATCTTCCTCTACCACGATGTCACCATTAACTTTTTTGTCTAAGTTTCTTTAATCAGTCTAAATGACTGTCTTCTCAACCTCCACTGATCACTGCGGCTCATGGTTATTGCGAAGAGTCTTTGTCAGTTTACATTAGAGTTTCTTCCGTTGGTCATTGTGTGCTGAGCCTGCAGGAATGCCTTCATGTGCTTCTGTTAATTCAAAAGCTACTGATATCCGCTGGCAAGCGTAAATTTTGAGCAGAAGAGGAAAGTCAGTTGATGAAGTTGTGGGCCTTTATTGACTGAAGTGGATGGCATAGTTCTGTTAGGTGAAGACGCTGACAAGATACAGAGTCTTCTGAACACTTTGAATGTCAAGTTGAAGATGTTTGGGATGCGTTTCTCACCACCTAAATACAAGTTGTTGCTTCAGGATTGGTCTTCAACGGTGCCACAGCTAATAACAGAGAGTGTAGAGGTTGAGTGTGTTGACCACCTCACTTACCTGAGAAGTAGGATCAGCCCTAGTGGCTCAGTGGCCGATGAAATCTCTGCACGAATACAAAAGGCTCGGCCGGCTTTCACCAACTTATGCCACCTATGGCACCGTCGTGATATCCGATTGTCTATTAAGGGTTGCGTGTACTACACAGCAGTCCATTCTGTTCTACTGTATGTATGGCTGTGAAACATGACCATTGAAGGTGGAAGACATGAGAAGGTTTCAGGTGTTTGACCATGGTTGCCTTCGTAGTATGGGCCGTCTTGTGTGGTGTCACTGTGTGAGTAGTGCAGAAGTCAGGTGTAGAGTTTTAAGGAGTGAGAGGAGGTAAGTTAGTTGACATGGTTGTGAACCTTGATCGACTGAGATGGCTGACTCCGACATGTATCACGTCTGCCTAGTCGCCGATTGCCTCATCACACAATGTTGGCTGAAGTAGATTGAAGCTGGAAAAAGGCTCAAGGTGTCGAGACTAAAACATGGGATGAATGTATGAATTGTTTAACTGTTGGCATGAACCATGTAGGAGGGGGGTGATGCAGACTAGGTGGTTGGGGTCGGGGGGACAAGAGGGACCAGTTGTTGGAGACTAGGTGATGTGGCTGAGAACGTGTGTGAGTGGCGCGGATGTATATGCACACACACACACACACACACACACACACACACACACACACACACACACACACTATCCTCATCTTAACGTTATGCCGAATCTCACTACTTCATTCTTCCTTTCTCTTTTTGAGTACTTTATATTTCTTTTGACTGAATTTTCTTACTTCATCTTGCACCTCACTGCCTTTTTACTTGATGTACTGATATGAGGTGTGGCAACTCGGACCGTTACTCAATTATGTCAGGTCTTATGTTGATATTACGTTTACATCCGACCTGTTTCTGTAGCTAATTTATTCTTCAGTACTGTTTTCACAACCAACAGATGATGGCCCAGGTTTCTTCCTGAAAAGTGGTTTTGTCTGTGTAGTTCTTCATCGAGCTCCGCTTGGAATTGTACCATGGTAGTTTTTATCCGTTCATTGAGATGTAGACAGGCGTGCTCAAACCAACACCTCATCGCTGTTTGAATACGTGTTCTAGAAGAAGCATCAATATCCCTACCGATCCTACAACGATAGCTGATAGCGAAACTGTCTGTTGGTAGATGGCACTTCAGATGATATCTCCCCGTCTATCTGAAGTTTATGCTGACCAGAAACAGGAGTTTGTTTGAGGATGGTTTTAGCAGTCAATCATTATAATCCGTTTGTTCGTCTAGGATTCCATAAGATTCAACCAAGTGTCTTCCTATCTGGCTTAGCCTACCCATTTGTGCACTGAAATCTCATGCTACAACAGTAACATCGGAAATTTTAGCTTTCAATAGGGGGTTAGACAGTTTTAAGACGGACACGCATAAACTGCAAGTGAAACCTTGCACTTTCACGGATGCTGAACGTTATTTACTTACGTAAAAATCACAGCTTGTTGTATAAACCACTCGCATTTGAAGTCGCCCCTACGCTGTGTAGGTAAATGATATTATATGGGAATTACATCGACGCAGTGATCAAGTTTGACAGTAGCACCCATATCAGACAAGCCATCTTGGCTGTATCACAGTCATTATCCTATGTCATGCTTATTCATATTCCTCATTTTTTTTAGGTAACTTTACTTCAGCAAACTTTGAAACGTACTGTCGTCATTCCTTTATTTAATAATCATATTGTTATTGTACCTACCTTTGTTAGATAAATGATGCCTGCTCCTTATGTGCAACAACCAATCCCTATAGAAGCTCTTTCTGAATATGACATTCGTGAAATACTTTTGGATGGACATGAAATACTTGAAAAGTACGTTTCATATATTGAATATAATTCAACAAAATAGACCACTAACACCAACTGCAAACTTTCAGAGGATTGTTAATCATATTGACTTATTAGAAGGTTGTAGTTCTGGGGATACTTTTCCTCAAAATAATGAGCAGGAATCATTAAAGAACTTAATGTCACCGAAGATATGGGAAACAGTCAAAGGAATAATGCGGTATGGTTTGTTAATTATAATTCTTAGTGTTTAGTACCACATTGATTGAAATAAATGCACTGGTTGATGTTCTTGGTATCATGAAAGAAGGAAAATATTTGGCTATTAATCCTGTCGTGGGTGATTCACCTGAAACAAATCTTTCTCTGTTTTTATCCGGAAAGAAACGAGTTAGTTTAGACCAACTTCCGCTTATATATCTGCTTTACAATTATTAGTCGCTTGCTGCAGCCGCTGATATATTGATAAAAGGAGCTGAACGCCTTCATCGAAGACATAGTGAACTGTTCGATGCCAGAGTGCGACGTTTTGATCCAATAGTCTCATCATCTGAATGTTCTCATAACTCCTTTCATAAGATGTTAATGCATCTGCGTCAAGAATGGAGATTGAAATTGCACCAAAATTCTATTTTAGGTGATGTTAGTCTACGGTCAATCGGTTCTTACTTCAAGGAGTCTGGTAATTTTGAAATCCGAGAGTCGGATATATTTTCTAACTATAAATCAAATATACAATCAAAGGATGGGATGAATGTGGATACATTATCTGGAGTTATGGTAAGATGTGAATAGTTTCATGTCTTTAACCATTATCACATTTTCTGTAACCAGTCTTAGGGACATAATTCTTCGTATTATTAGTTTTAAGATTGTCAACAAACTTGACTTTTACAAAGTTGACGTTTAAAATGTTTAAAATTGTGCCTTCGTTAGATTCCGACCTGCAACATCCCATTTACTTACCTATCCTTCTGATAGCTGATCTCAGGGACACGAACTCCCACCACACCACACTTTCCCAGTTCATTTACTGTTTTTGTCATGCTTGTTTGTTGGCATTCATCACAAACTGACATCAATGTGAGAACCACTGAAAATCAAGGACTATTGAACAGTTGTTTCGTTATAGTATGGGACTTCTCAACAGTGCGCACCCACGACTCCCCCCTCACAGAGGCCGAACCCTGGCCCTTCAGGTTTCGTGGCAGGCACGTTACCTTTGAGCCACTGTGTCAGAATCCAATGGTCCACACTGTCCTGCTTCAGTCAATTTCCAAGGTAACAGCCATCATTCAATGCCGTTGGGGAGTATTTGTCCTCATATCCGACTTGGTCAACCACACAGGTCACGGCTTCTCATTAGAGCTTCAGAAAACTTATCGCAAAATGTTAATAATGAGCACTTGATAGTAATTCAGTTTAGAGGTTTTGCCGGATTTATTGATTTCATGGTGGTATTCATTACGAACTACCGTCATTCCAATCACAGTAGATAACTTAAGCTTCATCTTAAAAAAGACAAGAAGTGTACCGAAGTCATAAAATATGGAAAAAAATGTTCCATATTTCAGCTTAGCTGAGATATTTCCCATTCACAAAAATAAGTTTGATTGATCAACTTTCAGACTAGCTATCTCTATGTCAGTTCAAGTCATTTTGTCCTGATTTAAATGGAGTTACACTATAAAGTGATCGGTAAATATGTATGTTGATTATCCACGACTGTGCCAGTTGATGCTGTAAGAGATGATGCTATCGTAGATAATCTGAATAGTCAGTAAGCGAGCAACTTTTCTTTGAATTCACTTCAATACATCAATCTGTTGGTTGTTAAACTGATTACACTAAAAACTGGTAATTTTTCCAACCTCATCATCACTACACCGTTCAAGAATCTACTAATCTAATTTGCACTGAAATTAATATAACTTAAGTGAACAAACTAAATTCATTGATTGAGTTTTCAATCCAAGCAGTATAATTTCTACCTACTGATAATCCATAGGGTGTCATGCTTACACGGTCAGTACAATGATTTGTAATTTTGTACTGATAATCATTAAGAGTTATGCTTTCGTTTGGTAATCCTTAGAAGATATTGTTAATCTTGATAGCGTTCATTTGATGAACAATTAAACCGAAAGGTTGACTTCCTAAATTATATTTATCAACTTCTTGATAATGCCTGTAAAAACAACCTGAAGTAGAATATAAAAGCTTTCTGCCATTCGTAACGTTCATTTTGTTATAGTATACGGTTAAAATACACGAATTATGATATGTTTAGTCGATTTTTTTATGCAACAGTTAATAAAGTTTATATGCTAACTGGCAAAGCAGCTGTATGGTCAGGCAAAGGGTACTAGGCAAATCAGTCAATGAGGTTTTGGACCGTCATTGACTAAGGTGACTGAAACATGTGCTGCATAGGCCCTGCCACCATCCACCTCGACTTGCAATGCTAGAGGAAGTTAGATTAGATTGGAAGAAGGTTCAGAATGGTCAGACCAAGACATAGTATCAGTCCATGAAGTGTTTGACTGTTGATCTGAGCCATATGGAGAGATGTAAACTACCTGACTGGGGTCATCGAGACGATACAAATCAATGTTTGAGGACTGACTCTTGGTGACATGCCTGAGAGTCGGTCACAATGGCGCAGATGTATTCACTCCTTGACATCTTAAGCTTGAATATTTTGATTAAACTTAACTTTTAAATTCCCTCTCCTTCCGTACACCTCTGTCTACTTTAATATCAGTCCTTCGTGTCCACTTATTCTTTGTTTACTACTATAAAATGTAGCAAATTGGACCGATACACCTATGTATGAGGTCGTACGTTGATTTTGTCTCTGTCTGTTATACATGTTATATGTGTAATTATAAAGTAAATTTTATTTGGTACTATACATTGATGGAAAAGTGGTTCGGTGATTAGTGTACAATCAATACTGAAGTTAATCATTTACTGCGCACTTTAGTATCCCTGCATGTAAAGCTATAAAGGAAGCGATACCAAGTAAGCACCATACTACTAATTGATTGGAAAGATCCTGAGGATCGATGTACAACTATTTACGTCAGTGACAGTTGAGTAGTATTCTTTGCATAAAAAGAGATAATTGATGCAATACATTTACTTTCAGCGTAATTGTTTAATCAGTGCTATTTTTTTCTTTCTCCCTGTCATTCGTCTTATGCAGTTTTTTTCAATCAACTTTTACTAGGTAATATTTTCACAATCTATGGAAGCTCTTTTAAGTACATCTCTTGGGTCTGGCGTTCTAAATGTCAAATTCTTTGAGTCGGATATCAAGTCAGGATCTGCATCATTGTTGAAACATTTGTTTTGTGAACAGCAGACATCTTCATGTCTTGTAGATGTACCATCACTTAACCAAAGACAAAGACTATTTAAAGCTCAAAGGTTACTAGCGTGTCAAGAGATTTTGCTTCAGCTTGCATATGAAGCATCCAATTCAAAAGGTCGTGATAATCCTACATATTCTATTGCCTTTGCCACTCAAGTTAGTTTCATAACATTTGTGTTTCTTTCGTTATTGTCAGTTTCATTCAGTTTACGAAAAAGTTGCCATGAAAACCAAATGAGAACATGATAGCGGCGACATTAATATGATTATGAGCAATAATAATTTATACTAGAAATGCTATCAAGTAAATAATACTGTATCACTGTGTGTTATACGTCAAATAAACAAATCTAATACGGAATTACATCCTACCACAGGGCTCAAGTTTCATAGTTATACCGGGGGATGTTTGTAGAATAATCCTACTTTGTATTAATAACAGTAGGGTACTGGAATCACTTATCATAAAGGATTTAAGAATGCTTCAGTCAAAGCAGTTATGCGTGGGGATGTTAGATCCTGAAATTTGTCTTTTTCATACCTTTTCCAGCCTAGCGAGTATCGTTCATTTTTACCGCTTCTAAGGACACTATTTTTCATTTAGTTGTTCTATCACTTTTAATATACTAATTTTTCTGTTTATTTCAAAGGTGTTCCCATTGTATATAAACCTATATTTTCCTACACTTTTGATGGAATTAGACATTCTTTAGTTCAGTACTGTCCTCTTCCTTATATTAGTCGAACGAATTGTTAAGTATCGTATTTCTCTCATTCGGTATTCAGATTAAACTGCTGTATTCGCAAATCTAATCAGTTAAATCTGCTCTGTTAGCATCGTTTATATGTTTGATGTAATAACTATTTCGTTTTTCTTTATGTATTTATTGGTCGTTTTGTTAGAATTAACAGTCCTCATTCTATCTTATTGAAACAAGAGTTGGTTTTGATAAGCATTAAGAAAAAAAAATCAAATATTTTAATGATATAAAAAAGAGATCAAAAGGTGATTCAGTAAGATCTCAACAACTTCTTGCTCCCAACGAAACCGATACAGTCGTCAATGTCTTTGAACTGAAGTTATACTTATCGTGACCTGGAATTACTTAGTCGTGTAGTCTTGAGGACATTACTCAAGCATGTTGAAAAAAAGTCGGATTGCACTCAGTAGCCTTGTGCCCATCTATACATGAAGCAATGAGCTACACCTATTAAGTGAGGGCTAATGATAGTACTAACTGACTGCCCAGACATCGATAGGTAGTGCGACGTTGGAACCCGTAAACCACTAGTTGAAAGTCAAATGTCTAAGTCAATGAGCCACCCAAGGAAGTTGGTTACATCAACAGATGCAAACCCCCAGAAGAATATTTTCAACTTAACGACACCAAACCTCAAACAGGCTAAACCCCCCCAGATAGTTCGAAAACGATAATATTCAGTATAGAAACCAGTGGTGTAACATATGTGAAATACTCAGGTTATTGAAACCGATACAATGGGATGAGTCAACCCTCTGAATAACTATTCAGTGCCTGAGCGACTGCTCTCATCATATCCAAGCATCCCATTAAACTTCAGTATTTTCTACAAGGTTTTCATTGAAAAGTTGCAATTGAAAATTGAGCGTCATTTGACATCATCACTTGGACAATCTAACTTTATAGACATAAAACAAAATCGTACATAGGATTGTACATGTGACTACTACTTACAGCTTAGTAAGAATCATGTCAATAATAAAAGTAGCTTATTAGGATACTTCTTTGTCTTTATATGACGAAAATGCTTTTTTCAATGTTATAAGATTTTACAAAAAATCCTTATCACTTTCCGACTATTTCCTGTCTTATTGTTGTTTTGGGCAAATACGAATACTGATTTATACCGATCTTTCAATGTGTAACTCTTCTATGATAAGAAGTAACATATCGCACTTCCAAACACTACTCACTGATTAAGTGAATGCTTATACATAACCTGTTGTGCAGTAGGATTCAATTCTTTATGCGTTTTAGGTGAGAAATTCTTCCCTCGAGTAAAATTTTGTTAGAGTAAGCGGAAAGATGTCTCATTGTTGGGAATGTCTTTTGTAAAATCTGGACTAATTACTTGTCTGCAACCTAGACAGTTTCACAGATGATGGATGTACCAGAAGACAGTCTTTTCTTGCAAAGTCTGGTAGATACTTGAAAAAAAAAAGTAAACGAAAGTCATTAAGCGACCGATAAGTTTCTGCTAATGAATATGAAACTGCTTCTGTTCACATCCTTTCCTGATATACACCTGTGTTACTATTGAAGACATTCCTCACCTCCATATATGCTAGTGACGTCATTTTGCTGTGTGGTAATGTACAAACGATACAGACCTCATCTAGCAAGGTATCACTGATGTGCTCTTTTTAGTAAGTGGCTGATGACGTAACGCTGAATTCTGAAATCGATGTTTTGATGACTATAATGGTCTTTCACAAAAATCTTTACACAGCCAAATGTTTTGTAAACGTAAGTTTGTGTGATAATATTCTAAAATTACTAGTCATTATAAAGCTTTTTGGAAGTTTTGAAGTTACCTGGGAAGTAGGATCAGCCCTAGTGGCTCAGTGGCCGATGAAATCTCTGCACGAATACAAAAGGCTCGGCCGGCTTTCACCAACTTATGCCACCTATGGCACCGTCGTGATATCCGATTGTCTATTAAGGGTTGCGTGTACTACACAGCAGTCCATTCTGTTCTACTGTATGTATGGCTGTGAAACATGACCATTGAAGGTGGAAGACATGAGAAGGTTTCAGGTGTTTGACCATGGTTGCCTTCGTAGTATGGGCCGTCTTGTGTGGTGTCACTGTGTAAGTAATGCAGAAGTCAGGTGTAGAGTTTTAAGGAGTGAGAGGAGGTAAGTTAGTTGACATGGTTGTGAACCTTGATCGACTGAGATGGCTGGCTCCGACATGTGTCACGTCTGCCTAGTCGCCGATTGCCTCATCACACAATGCTGGCTGAAGTAGATTGAAGCTGGAAAAAGGCTCGAGGTGTCCAGACTAAAACATGGATGAATGTATGAATTGTTTAACTGTTGGCATGAACCATGTAGGAGGGGGGTGATGCAGACTAGGTGGTTGGGGTCGGGGGACAAGAGGGACCAGTTGTTGGAGACTAGGTGATGTGGCTGAGAATCGATGTGAGTGGCGCATATGCATATATATATACACACACACATCTTCATTTTAACCATATACCGAATTTCACCACTTCCTGATTCTTCCTTTCTCTCTTTTCGCACTTTATATTTCTTTTGACTGGATTTTCTTTCATTCTTCATCTTACAGTTCACTACCTTTACTTGGTGTACTGATATGAGGTATGACAACTCGGACCGTTACGTAGTAATGCCTGGTCCTATATTGATATTGATGATTTTCGTAAGTTTGTCATTTTGTAACGTTTTTTGTTTGGATGAATACATTTACACTATTTTTAAAATTGTTTCATAATTCTGTTAGGATGAGGTCATAGCCACATTATTCCCGGGAGTACAGATAACTATATCTCTAAACACAAGACCTTGTGTTTTCAACGACGAAATTTTAGATGGTATAAAGCCTAAATTAATAGATAAGAAATCATTTGATTACCCAAAATCTGTTGTTAACTGTACAAACTGTATAGACTTGCAATTGCATCGCATGTTAGCAGCTCAGCATCGAGCAGCATGGTCAAATCTCGCAAGTTTACCACAGCCTGCATGTGGGCCTGTTCAAGTTCCTCTATGTTATCGTGCCGCTGGTGCAAATGGATTACCAGCATCTTACTTTTTGTCATTATCACATGATTTGAACTCAAGCCTTGGATTCTCTGTTGTTGTTGCTAGTGTTTCCGGTTTCGCTGCTCAAGCTGCTTCTGCCTGGTCTGTCATTCATCCTGCTAGTAGAATTCATCCATACTTCACTGATAAAACAGATATGTTAAGTCATGGTTTGAACGCTTATCTTCTGGTCAAGATCGCTTATCACTCTTCACTGAATGGGGGCATTTTCTTCACAGTGGAGCTAGTTTACCTCTTACTGGACATCGCTTGGGAGCTTCAAGTTCTACAGATGCCTCAATTCCTGGTGCAGTAGGTTTATCCATGATTGAACACGCTTTGTTACTGCGAGGCGCTGACGATAATACACTAAAAGCTGTACTTGGTACAGATCTATCGTTATTCAATCGAACCGTTAATATATGTCGTCATTATTATCTTCGAGACCAGTAAGTTGATGTGTATGTTGCATTTGTGTTTACCTTAAATGAAATAGCTTTATTGTTTGTATCTTTGAAAATAGTATTACCTAGTTTAAAAACAACCGTTCTAGCATAAGATATATTTGCATAAATCTTACTATGCTTGAACTAAATAAGTCCATCATCTCGCACGGAAGTCTTGTCCGAGCTTCTTCAGACCAACTTTCGTCTGAAACATGCTGAGATTTATACAAATATAACTCCTATTTAATGTCAACTTTTCATTCGGCGCCCAATATTTGTGAAACTATCCTATCAAATCTTGACCAGAGTTCATGTTGACTATTCTTGCAATTAATTATCTAACTGAAGTATTTTCATCTTGGCTTCTCATGTTTTTCCAGCATTTCCTGAAATCTGTCTGAATTATTATTATCATTACTATTACTATTATCGTTGATATTATTAACAACAGTCTAGTATTATTGTTACTATTTAAAATTGAAGTGCGGCGAAAGATTGGCGCCGGAAAATGCGCCACAAAGTGTATGGTCAAATAGTCAGTTCCTTAGAATAGCATGTTCAAGAAGCTTTCATTTGTGTTACTTTTCACGTTTGAAAAATCTCTCAGTTGTACCAATATGTGACCCACCATTACTACTAACAGATCCAAGTTGTTGGACCACACATCATCACATCAAGGTTTAATGCACTAAAAGGAAGTACAAAGAAATAGGAGAGATTATGATCGAAAGTCACAAGAAGTCATAAGAAGCGAAGGAAGCCAATAATAAAAGCTTGTTATGATGATTAGAAAGGAGTAGTATGGATATATTTCCGCCACTGCGATGGATTCTGAACCATGTCACCTGGGTTCTCCATTTTTAATTTCAGTTGTCACACGAACCCTAACCTTATCTAACTTCAGTTAACATTTTGCGTCAAGGTAGACGGTGACATATACCACCAGACACCTCAAGTTGATGGAAGTTCGTAGCTTCATCAGCTGACTCTCTTCTAATTAAAACCGACCTCTACGTTACTGATGTGGTATTACTATGACACACAAACTGCACTACCAAGGCAACGATGATCGACATATCTGTTGTCTTTTCATGCCTAATTTCAATGACCACATTTCACAGCTGTATAGAAGAACGGAGCTTACTGCACATTACAGTCACTCCCTGCTAGATAATCGAAAATCATACCAATGCCATGATTAGTGTATGTTGGCATAGGTCAGTGCCAAAAATTTCACCGACCACTGTTTAACGCTCTCAACCACTTCACTGTCATTTGTTGGACCGGATCGTAACACAGACCATTTGTGAAGCAACAGTTTTCAAACATTCTCAGATTATCACTGAAAGCATCCAGAAAATTATGTCTTGTCAACGTCTTCACCTAATAGGACTATACCATCAGCGTACTCTAGGTCCAATAAAGTGTCATGTGACAAGGTTAGTGTATATGTTGTGTGAAACGAGTGAAGCAGTCCTCCATGTGATAATGCATGACAAAGTTGAGTAATGATGTACAGAGTGAACATCTTTAACTGACGTCATTTAAAGTAAACAATTCATCTGATACCTCACCATAGGCTGTAGGACACCTACAAGTGTTCGAATATAGAGCCTTCAATAGAGCGATGTATTTAGCCTGTACCCGTTTCGGTGAAACTCACTGCCCTAAGTTTTCTGAATCGGTGGAGTTGGGTTCCACCTTTAGACCAAGAAGTACGGCTGATGCGAGGCGCCAGTGTGTGTGCTTGTGTTACGAGACCTGTCCGACGATGAATGGGGAGTCGAGTGACCGACGACCAGATGTGAAATATGTTTGGTTATCTCGGTCCTGATGTTGCTTATCTTCCCAGGTGTTTAGTGGTTATGGAATTTGGGATCGTGCGTGCTATATTCTTCGAACTGACTTCTCTGTGGTTATCATGGAAGGATCTACTTTAATGCTGGGACAGGCAGTGATTGAAACCAACCAGGAAATATCAAATCGGGTTCCAAAACGCCGACTTATCTGTAAAATGTCAACGTAATCTTCACTGATTTCTATCCTGAACCATCTGTGCAATCGTTTGAGTCCACTAAGACGCATGATTTTTGTGACTCCGCCCAGGGATTCCTGATGTATCGACGAATGTGTCACCCGATACAATTATCCTTCATCACGAAGTTCCATTTCATGCACATATTACGTTCCTGCTTTTGCCTTGCTTCACAAAGGCTGGTAAACACTGAACGGCCTGTAGGTCACATAAATTAAATTTCTGAAACAAGTTCATGTCACCGAAACCGCCATTTCTAGTTAACATCACTATAAATGATCTCCGTTACATCAACTGAATTAAGAACTACTTACATGGTATCTCCTTCATATGCTCTCCGTCGTACAGAGACAACAGAAGGGAAACAAGGTTTCACAGGCGTACTTTACAACTGCCTTAACTAAAGCAACGTACACCAGGGTCTGTAGCAGCCATACTAACGTCACAATGGTGCCACAGGTCACTCAAACTGTCTCTCACGATACTACAGCGCATCTCTTCAGTTACACCTGTATCAGAACTCAAACAACTGTCTAAATACATAGACGTTTCGACTATTTCAAATGGCTTACCACTAATGCTGGTTTGGAACAATAGAGGGAGGGGTGGTTTTATTTCCTTACTCTTTTCGAGGTGTTTTTGTGTGTAGCTATCAAGATGTTGACAAAAATCGCTAGGACAACCTCACCTGATGGAAAATCCCACTGTACAGTTCTGTTGAACGAATAAACGTTAGCTCCAAAAACATAACAACTGTTGGCCATGAAAATAATATAAGAGTGGAAATTACTTCAGAAATACGAAAGTATTTGACAACATGAATAAGTGAGTCGAAATCATGAATTAAAGAATTGGTAACAGACTGAGTAGACAGTTGTCGGTAAGGAAACGGGAACAAGAAATTTGCAACTAAGCTAAACGAGAATCGTTTACGCAATAATAATACGAAAATCTCAAGATTATTTTGGAGTAAGATTTGGAAAGTCTAAGGATTTAAAAGTGAATAAGGACAGGGAATAGTAGAATTCGCTTCTAGATACACAATTCCGCCTTTTATTATTGTATTGCTGTAGCTTCAGCAATCCAAAATTAACGTTTTTTCATATTTCCCGGAAAATCACGTTGTTTTATTAAACTACTACAAACGAAGCTTCTGTAACTGTGTCCACTGTCAACCAAATGTTGTAGTGTGGAACTACTAATTGATTTGCAGTAATGTTTACTAGGGAATGGCGAAAGGCGTTAGCGACGACATTGGACAGTTTGTCTCTGAGTATGTACCTATGTACCTATCTCTACAGGGACAGACGAATTGATATATGCACAATAGAGTGGCTAGCATTAACAGTTTTTGCTTCTCACTTGTGTTCACCATTGAGCGACTAGTACAAGTGATTTGCAGATTGGCTGCATAGAATGTTCTTTTGACAACCTTGATCAGTCTATGTTTTAGTACCTCATCTCTTGCATCTCCATTGAATCCCAAAATGGAAATTAGCCTTTTCTTCTCCATATTAATAGGAGACTGATGGGTAGTATTACAATGCAGATATTTATTCATGAATCTTTGTGGGTATCCATTTCCGGTGAACATCGATCTTAGAAGTTGAATTTCGTCTTCTATGATGTTTGGAGTATAAATCTTCTAATTTCAAGAGGGGAAGGAAAGGATGAAATTTCTTCGGCTGATGAAAACTCAGCTATGAAGGTCTTCCATCTGTCTATTCCACATGGATTTTTTAAGAAAATGAATCTTTTCAGCCATCCATCATCTCTTCTTGTTAACAATACGTTGACGTATAGTATCTTAGAGTGTGATTTCATCTTCAGTGTAAAATTGATGGAGGAGTGATATTGATTGAAAGAAAAATTGAAGTCCTCTCTGCAAGTCACAATTCTTGTTACAAACAATAAATTTATCATTGACATACCTGATAACTGGATTGAGCATAGTTATTTCCAGTTTGACCACAAATATGTCTGCTAACAAGTGAACCCAATGGTGACCCCATAACTACTCTATTTCTGGGTAATAAAGATGCTATTAAAGGTGAACGGCTCATCAAATTTACATCTTAAGAGTAATTCTTTCAAATATTTTATCGATATGACAATTCTAATTGCATTTGAGTCAATATAGTAGCATATGAAACACAAACTATTTCAATTAGAGGGACATTTGTAAATTAAAACAGTTACGCCAAACGATAACATACTCAAGAACTGTCATTGATTGGACCGAATTGATCGATCTCTATTGGCATATGGGCTCCTGTGCGGATGCCTCTATATTACCTGTGTTTTAATTATAGTAATGATGGATCGTGGCTAGCAGTGGAATCTAGGATGCACATTCCGTCCTATTTGGGATTCATCAGCTGACCATTAATGAATGATATGCAAATGTACAGACTCCTGTCAATGTTGCAAGCTTATGTTGTATTCTGGTGATGCCCAATGCATGACTTCCTTAAAGACAGAACAAAATGAATAGGTTCGATTTGACTAGCCTACATATCTTACAAATATGTTAAAGTCGTCTATCCGAAACCGAACGATTTGTTTCAATACCTCTTAATTTGCCGTCCTAGCATGTACAAATAATTTTTTGGAGTCTAATATTCACCGTCTGTTGATATCTAGAAGTTATCGATACTGGTGTAAATTAGGGAAACTGAGCACATTGTTGAATGTGGAGCTGTGACTCATCGAACTAGGCAGTCGATTTTCAACCAATAAATCACTCATTTGGACCCCACATCATCTACCCCAGATCTTAGCAGACAAGTAGTATCGTTAGCCTTCATACAAAAGTTGTTGCTCATTATTTACTGCTCGAACATCTACGTTATTTGTAGACTGCACTAAATATGCGAACACTTATGACAAGTCTATGACATTATTAATCACGTAAACTCTTAAATGCTAACCGGGTTTTCATAACCAGTTTATAGATCTTGTTTCACATTGGTTAGCCGTTACTACCACGCCATATTAATTCCTGTGGTGTTGTGGCTAACTGGTTTCGGCAGTTAACTTTAAACTATTCGGTTACGGATTCAAACTCCGTCCAACTTATCGAGGTTTAGGCAACCAGGTAGTAGTATCATTAGCCTTAGCACACAATAGGTGTGGTTCATTGCCTACTGTAGAAATGTGCACATGGTAGCTGAGTGCACTTTGATTCGTTTCGAGTTTCTGTAATCCATGTATATCAGTGATGGGGTGCTACACAATTAAGGGTTAATTTAACTCTGAAATAGTTATGTATTGCATTCCCATACTCCTTGTATTGACTTGTCAGTTATCTGTGCTCATACCTATCTGTAACTAATTCTTATATTGGACCAATTTAAACAAATGTTTGTTTCAGTTTATTGAAGATTCATCAGCATTGATTTAACAATCTTATCGATGTGAAATCATAAGTGAGTATAATAATCTATGGAAAGTTTCAGAAAACTATTTTTTGCGAAACACATCCACTACCTGTTTCTTAATCGATACAAATACTCTACTGAATGAAACTCATACCATATTTTCACCTGGTAACTAGAAATTTTTATAAATTCTTCATATAGGAAACCTGTATACCTTGTGTTTATGTGAGGTAGAGTAACTCTGACCTAACGTATTACTATCAGGTCTCATTTTGATACTGACTGACTGACTCATCTTCCTTGCAGGAACTGTTTTAAATATTCAGAAAATTTATACAAAGATACCTTAACTGTACTCATTATTATTTGGTTTAAAGATAAATTAAAAGTGTTTTTTTATTTATTTCTCCAACACACCAGTTTATCAGTATAACTTATAGTTTTACAAATTTTTAATTTCTTTCAGAGTATACCTTATTATATCCGAATTTTCACAACATTCTCCTGTCAAGATTATAGCACATTGGGATACTTGTAATTCTGCATTGGAAACATCAGTCAGATTGTGTTTCTATTCTACTGACTATGATGCTTATCGGTCATGGTTGTGTATAACAGTTACATCTAGTGGGATTTTTGTATTCTACTCGGATCCCCCTCAGACTTATCGTCTAGGCACAAATCTGAATAGACTAAAAGATGTTTTAAGCAATCAGGTATGTGTATTACTTTTATTTTTAATCATAAACATGTTAGTAATAACTTCATGATTTTAGAGTTTAGTAACTTGTAACTTAATGGGGGGGGGGTGGATGCATTTCAGCTTCTTGAAGGTTGTAGTCAGCTAACAAATTCCGGCCATAATCATAGTTTAACCTATTTTACAACCCCTATGGATAGTACAGTAAAACAATATTATTTACTGGCCTACCTTTCGGATACAATTTATTATCCAAAGTCATGTCAAGATAGCAACTATGAGACATGATCTTTATGGTTTTTAATTCTCTCTTCTTTATGATAAGGGGTAGTAGAATTTACCATATATCTAGGACAAGTGCGGAATCGTTCCTGTTGTATGTGTTTAGTGTTGATTCGATAAACAGAGATGCAGTTATCAGTCTCTTCGTTCATCTGCAAAAACTCAGTGACGTTAACTGTCACCCTAGCGGCCATTGAAATAACCAATCAGGTTTTGGCATTTCAGCTAGGAAATGAATTTCTCATAAAATAGATAACCGTAACTGGTGTTATCACTGTAGTCGTTTAGGCGACCTTTAAAGTTATTCCAGAAGCGTAGCTAGATCAAACGTTTCAGAGTGTAATCAGAGGGCGACTTTATAGGCCACCCTGGCAACTACTGACTTAACTAATCAGGTTCCAGCGTTCCAGTTGGAAAGGTGGTCTTTCGTAAAATCTAGAAGCCTAATTGGTTATTTCAGCAGTTGCTAGGGTGGACTCTAAAGCCACTCGTATTGAGACGAAGGATCCGGAAAGCAGCTCAGCCATATAGCTACGCCTAAAATTACATACAATGAAACAATAGGATAGCTATAGTGACAGTCCTTAAACTATCTCGAGTGGCTTTACAATGTGACTTTAAAGGCTGTCCTAGTAGAGGCTAAAATAACCAATTAGATTTCTCTATTTTATGAAAATCTGCCTTTCCAACTGAAATGCAGGGAAACCCGATTGGTTATTTCAATCGTCGCTAGGGTTGGCCTTAAAAGTCGTCCGGCTTTACAAGCCACCCTAACATTTGAGATAGGGCGAATTTAGAAACCATCTCAGCAACTGATGAAATAACCAATCACTTTTCTCTATTCCTCGAAAAATTGTTTTCTCAGCCGAAATACCGCAACTTGATTGGTTATTTTGGCAGTTGTTACGATGGCCTTTAAAGTCGCCCCAGAGATGACCACTAACAGTTCCCTATTTAAAGGTCACCCTAGTAACTGATGAAATAGCCAATCAGCTTCCCGTATTTTGAGTAGAAAGGTAGCTATTCTTAAAATGAAGAAATATGATTGGTTATCTCTAAAATTGCCACTGTGGCCTTTAAAGTTACTCTGATAGGTTATTTCAGCATTTACTAGATGTAGAGTTTAAAGTCGCCCCAGATACCTGCAACAGGAATGACTCGGGACTTCTTCTGGATATATGGAAAATCCTACTATCTGTGTATCACAGAAATTAAGCAAGAAAATTCAGTCAAAAGAGATATAAAGTAATCAGAGGCGGAAAGAGGGAGAGGAAGAATGAGAAAATGGTGAGACTCGGTATAGCATTAAGATGAGGATAATGTGTGTATGTGTGTGTGTGTATGTATGTATGTACATATACATCTGCGCCACTGAGATCGATTCTCAGCCACATCACCTAGTCTCCAACCACTGGTTCCTCTTGTCCCCCGACCCCAACCACCTAGTCTGCATCACCCCCTTCCTACATGGATCATGCCAACAGTTGAACACTTCATACATTCATCCCATGTTTTAGTCTGGACACCTCGAGCCTTTTTCCAGCTTCAATCTACTTCAGCCAACATTGTGTGATGAGGCAATCGGCGACTAGGCAGACGTGACACATGTCAGAGCCAGCCATCTCAGTCGATCAAGGTTCACAACCATGTCAACTAACTTACCTCTTCTCACTCCCTAAAACTCTACACCTGACTTCTGCACCACTCACACAGTGACACCACACAAGACGGCCCATACTACGAAGGCAGCCGTGATCAAACACCTGAAACCTTCTCATGTCTTCCACCTTCAATGGTCATGTTTCATAGCCATACATACAGTAGAACAGAATGGACTGCTGTGTAGTACACGTGACCCTTAATAGACAATCGGATATCATGACGGTGCCATAGGTGGCATAAGTTGGTGAAAGCCGGCCGAGCCTTTTGTATTCGTGCAGAGATTTCATCGGCCACTGAGCCACCAGGGTTGATCCTACTTCCCAGGTAAGTGAAGTGGTCGACGCACTCAACCACCTCACTCTCTGTTGTTAGCTGTGGCGCCGTTGAAGACCAATCCTGAAGCAAAAATTTGTATTTAGGTGGTGAGAAACGCATCCCAAACATCTTCAACTTGACATTCAAAGTGTTCAGAAGACTCTGCATCTTGTCAGCGTCTTCACCTAACAGGACTATGTCATCTGCGTATTCTAGGTCTAACGAAAATTCTCCTGTGATTAGGTCAACCTGTGTGTAGTCAGGTGGCTAGAAGGGAGACCTCCTTAAGAATATCTATGATAAAATTGAATAAGAATGGAGACAGTGGGCACCCTTGGCGGACACCACTTGATGAGCATAGCTCCCTGGACATCTCACTGTAGGCTTTAACACACCCACAAGTGTTCTAGTAGAGAAGCTTCATTAGAGTGATGTTTTTACTTGGCACGCCTTTCAGTGTGAGACATCTCTGAGGCTGTTGCAGTCAGACTGGTCACACCTAGACTTTGTATTCAGAAAGATCAAATTCAGGCCATATTCCTTCCTTGACCTTCAGCAAACTGAAGGCTACTTCCATCTTCCTTATTTGTTGTTTTTTTGTTTACCCTCGTATTCTTCATGTATCTGTATATAATGTTGACAAACTTAATGACAAAAATCGGTTTCATTACAATCCCTAACTCAAGTTCCATTTTGAAAATGTATTCGTCTGTAATTTTGCTTGTCTTTGCTCTCTACTATTCCATTTCATATTTGTGTACAACCTGATGAAAAATTATTGAAAAGAATAACCTTCGTTCAGATTATTGCTTCTTTATTAACGTTATAGAGATTCTCCAAATGTTTACAGTTTCGTCATTACATTTTTATATTATTTCGGTTAACATAGATTGCATATTTATCTTGGTGACTAGTAATGGAATCCAGGACGCTCACTTCCTCCTACTTGGGACTCGTCAACTGGATGGATGTACCCGCTCCCTAGTGCGGAGTGATGTTGTTCCCACTGAGACTTGAACACAGTACTCATCGCTTCAAACACTGATACCACTGCCCACTAGGACACTGAGACAAGGTAGACACCTTTTGTTCTACGAGTATCAGTTGTTGTTTTGATACTTGTAATTTCCTGTTGCTATACATAGCTGCATTGGAATTTTGAAGCGATGGGTACTGAATTCGAGTCTCAGTGAGGACAGCATCATTCACTGGGGGCTTTTGCCAATTTACGCCACCTATGGCGCCACCGTGATATCCGTTTGTCTTTTAACTGTCTATTCAAGTGTTTGACCTCGGTTGCCTTCGTAGTATGGGCCGTCTTGTGTGGTGTCACTGTGTGAGTAGTGCAGAAGTCAGGTGTAGAGTTTTAGGGAGTGAGAAGAGGTAAGTTAGTTGACATGGTTATGAACCCTGATCGACTGAGATGGCTGGCTCCGACATGTGTCACGTCTGCCTAGTCGCCGATTGCCTCATCACACAATGTTGGCTGAAGTAGATTGAAGCTGGAAAAAGGCTCGAGGTGTCCAGACTAAAACATGGGATGAATGTATGAAGTGTTTGACTGTTGGCATGAACGATGTAGGAGGGGGGTGATGCAGACTAGGTGGTTGGGGTCGGGGGACAAGAGGGACCAGTGGTTAGAGACTCTAGGTAATCACATAGCTGAGAATCGATCTCAGTGGCGCAGATGTATACACACATTATCCTCATCTTAACGACACTATATTGAATCTCACCATTTTGTCACTCCTCTTTCCTATCTTCTCGTACTTTATATTTCTTTTGACTACATTCCCTTATCTACATCCTTCACCTCACTACCTTTCTACTTCATGTATTGATATGAGGTGTGGCAACTCGGACCGTTACGTAGTAATGCCTGGTCCTATGTTGATATTGATTGACTGACTGGGGGAGGGGCAGGCACATCTAGCTGACAAGTCGTTCCTGAATAGGACGAAAGTCACATCCTAGATTCCAGTGCTGGTCACCAAAATGAATATTATTATTATTTGTCCCTTAGGTTCTTAGTGGAACACAGGGCTTCAGTAGCACGTCTCTACTGCACTCTGTTCTCTGCATTCTTTTGAACCTGACTCCACAAGATGAATATAACACAATGAATGTCCGGCAGCATCGAGGCAGCCCTTCTGCCAACAGCGGTCGAGCAATTCGGCCCTGTTTAGCAATGGGAGATGAAATTACGAGTCTCATAACAACAATTAACGTAAAGCATTTTATTTGAATTAGTTGTCATATAGGTGGTAAATATGAAGATTAAAGTAATATCTGAATGGCTTGATGACTTTTTAATTTTTCCAAATCCTTTTGTTTTCAATTCGACGAACTTAGAGAACCTAAAATTAGAATATACTCTGTAATCTGTACTTCGTTACATACAGACCATCATACCGCATCATCATCGTCATTATCAACATAGGACCATACATTAGTACATAATAATCTCGAAGTTGCAACACTTCACATCAGCACATCGAGCGAGATGAAAGATGTAGAAATGAAGAAGCATTGGTCGAAAGCTGTAGAAAGTAGTAGAAACTGAGGAAGAAGAAATAAGACAGTACTGAATTCACTACGATAATTAAGGTGAAAATAATTTGTAGATGCAAATACGTCATTGAAATTCATTCTGAGCCATGTCACTTATTACAGTGTCCAACCACTAGTTTCTGCTTTCACACGGACCCCAACTGGGAAGTCTGCATTATCCCTACTTGGCTCAAGCTACTGGTTAAATGCTTCATGTAGCGATACCATGTTTTTATCTGACCGCCCCTGACCTCTTTTCTACTTAAACCTACTTCAGCTGTCTTTGTGTGATGAGGCAGATGGGGGCTTTGCATGCGTAACATGTCCCAGCTACATCAACCAATGAACGCTCACAGCCTCTTCAACTGACTTTTATCCTCTACCCAAAACTCTACACCTAACTTCTGCGTTATTGACATGGTGGCACCACGATATGCGACGGTGGTCAAACACCTGAAGCCTACATTCATATCCTTTACCTTTAATGGCCATGTTTCACAGCCATGGAGTAGGACAGAGCAAACTGAAGCGCAGTACACGCCACTCTTAATGGACAATCGGATATCAGTGCTGCTCCATGAGTGGTGTTAGGTAGAGAAAGTGAACTGAGTTTTATTTTTCTTTGCAGTGATTTCACTAGCTATTGATCCACCAAGACTTCTCAGATAAGTGAAGTGATTAACGTACTCAACCATTTCACTCCCTGTGGTTAGCGGTGGCACGGCTAAAGACGGATCTTTGAGAAACAATTTTCATTTGAGTGGCGAGGAATTCCCTTTGAAGCTAATGCAACTTACACTAGCATGCCACCTCAAGGGGTCAGTGGATTGACATGTGCAACACATTTTCAAACCATCTCAGTCGAATAAGGTGCTCTACCTAATCAATTGACTTGCCTGTCTTGCCTAGCCACCCTTCACTCGAATTTCAACATTACTCACACAGTGATTCTGTCAAATGCGAGGATTGCTACGAATACATCTGTTATTAGAAGCGTGTAGCTGCTTCGTTTCTTCTAATTTTAACTGTCATATCTCACTGCCGTCATAACAGGACTAGACGGACTGCTGCGCAGTATACTCGTCCTTTGAATAGATATTCCGATATCTTGCCAGCCCGCCTCAAACATGACGCAATTTGACGAATGCCAAACGGGCCGTCTATATCCGAGTTGAGATTTCGTCAGCAAATATCCCATCACTTCACTCCCGTAGTTGGAAGACGTTCAAGATTCTTTCTCACTAACAACTATTTCATCACATGAAATACTCTGTTTTTTCAACTTTCAGCTTATTAGTTACGAAACGTACACTTCAAGAAAGTGAACATTATTTCCTGTTATGTCTAAACACTGTTACTATTATTAAGATGTTCTCCTTGGGTTTCTAGTGGGACATAGGGCTTCAGTAGTACACCTCCATTGCACTCTGTTCTCTGCTCCACAACCTTTCATTTCTTCCTCACATCATCTCTTGCATGTCACCGTCGTCTCCGACGCCCAACTCGTCATTTCCTCTTTGCATTGCACTCAAGAGATTGGACTGGCGCGTGATGTCCCCAATCGGCCTTCTCAGTGTATGCCCAGTCCAATCCATCTCCACTTTCTTCTGCTACATATCTGTTAGGTGATAGGTTCTTGGTTGGTTCGTTGCCTGTCAGCCAGCCAGAGTTCCTTGTTGCTTATTCTTTCTGGCAATCCATCTGATCTTCAGTATCGAGTGAGCGTAGGCGGCAACTGTTGATGTCTGTAGTTTGTTGGAAATGCTTTTCGTGACTCTGCAAGTTTGTGAACCATATTGCAGCATTGACTTGACTGAATTGGTGTTGAAAATGCGGATGTTGTTGAGGCTTTATGCTGAGTGCAGTAGATCTCCACACTGATTTCAGGTTAATGAAGGCTTGTTTTGCTATGTTTGCGATCATGGTTTTGACATCATCCTGGTCTGTGTCGCCGCTGCCTGTAGTTGAAAGGATGCTGCCTAGGTAGGTGGGTGGGTAGGTGAAAGAGACTACTTTCTTTTAGGTTTCTCCCGTTGATGGTGATTGGTGTTTGTTGTTGTTGGTGGTGGTGGTGATGTTGGTTGTGTATCTTCATCACCTGTGTGTTGTCTACAGTCACTTGAAGTCTGGTTTTCGCTTCCCTGCCTCTTCTGTCAACTTGTTAGTTTTCGCCTGTAGATCTTCGAGTTAGTGTGACAAGACATTAGACATACATTATGATCAGCGAAATCCAAATGTTCTGTTGTGTTTTCGTCGGTCAAATAACGTATGTCTACCTTCTCGCTCCTCACGGTTTGCTACATGATGCAGTCGTGTCGAGCACAATGAAGAAGATCATGGGTGATAGTAGGTGTCAGCCTTGTCTTACTCCTGTCTTTACTTCGAAGGCATGACTGAGCTCTCCACTGTGTATCACTTGGCATGTGGTGTTTTCATATAGTTGTTGAATGATATTGATAAAGGTTTGTGACACTGAAAGTGTATTGTTGAAACAGTTTCCGGCTAACTTCTTGGTCGACGTTGTCAAATTCGATGAAGTTGAGGTAGGGAGTTGACTGGCATTGTATACTTAGTTCTATGATGATGAGTAGTGAGGCGTGGCTATTTGATCCGCCCATGATTTGTTCTTCCTGAAGCCAGCTAGCCAGCCAGCCTGTTTGTGTCGTAATTTTGAGTCCATTATATGGTTTAGTCTCTGTAGGATGATGTTGCATAATATTTTACCTTGAGTTGACAGGAGAATGATTCCGCTGCAGTTCTTGGAAAGACATAGGTCTGCCTTCTTTGGTAGTTTGACAAGGTAGCCCTTCTTGTAATCTGTTAAATATGATTTAAATGAGCTGACCAATATCAATACCTTCTTTAAAACTCAATTGGCTCAACTATATGATGATTTTTATTTAGGTATTATATGTACAAATGAATTATTTGGATATATTAGCTATGAAAATTTTGGGATGGACACGTTTAGGCAGTAATCCACTTTCTGGAGTAGCCAATACTGAAGAGAATAATGATGGCCCAATGGTTGTCAAGATGTTTGCATCTCCATCCGGTGATAAGTAAGCAATTGACTCAATTATAAATGAACTTTTATGTTCGTTATATTATTATTATTTATTATTTTTTATCATTTCTGTGTCAATCTTTTGCACTTTATTTATCTGAGATATAAAGATGAACTACTTAAATAGAGTTATATAATTCTAGGCATCTTCAAATCACTACTGTTATGTAGTGAAATGATTGGATGAACATTGGTGTGATCAGTTTGTGGGAGATGTAGGCCGGAAAGGGTAAATCAATTGTGTGTGTGTATATGAAAATCATTCACCATCCTTAAAATGTATCGAATCAGTATCTCACGTTGAACTTATATGGTTAACTCAGTATGAACCCACAGTACAAGTGACTGATTCACTTCTGTTGTTGACACTTAGTGCTTAGCACTGTTTCTACACTGATTGTGTCCTATCATCTACTTCCAGTGATTATGATCCATTAGTCGTAGGATTGAATAAAATCAATTAACGATTGATGAGAAATAGATGTTTGAGTGATACCACAAAGTTTGATAAGTTGGAAATGCTAATCAAACGCTTTTTTGTAATTTATTATAATGGACCTTTATGTGGAGTCATTTAGACCGGTAACACCTATGAACATTTATGAATAGGTGTATAAGCATATCTTCTAGATATTTAGTGATGGAAACCAATTGAAATGTGAGTTATAGGATGGATTTGGTAAGTGTACGAGACATACTCAACCTTTCTATCCTAGATATTAAGAAAGAGACATGAATTTTACTAATTTTATCTGCTAGCAATCTAGTGATATATCAATCCTCAGAAAAATTTGAAAGAATTTATCTTCAAATAAATCCGTGTAGCAAAATTGATGAAGCTTGTATAGTATAGATGTCTGTGAAACACGCGGTAAACTTACAAGAGGACTCCTTGTAAACTATCAAGTTACGATAAGAGTGATACTCGGGAACACTGTTAACGTGTGTACACTCATGTCATTGTAAAAACAGGCGATAAGGTAAATTATGAACGGCAGGTTCTATTTGTTGGAATAGTGAGATCAAAGCAAATAGAAAGACAATTCAGTTTGGAGGTTTGTAGCGGTGAGATAAGGCAAGTCAAGTCGTATGTGATGACAAATACCCAGTGACAGGATTGAATGAAGGTCGAGATATATTGTGAATTGACATGAGGAAGAAGAAAAATGTGTACCATTAGATCGTGACCCAGTGTTCGAATGGCAACGTGCTGGCTGTGAGACCTGAAGGTCCTTGGTTCGACACCTAACAGGGCTGTACACTACTGAGGACTCCCTCCCGTTTTTGAACGAAACAGGTGTCCAATTCTCCTATGTTTTCAATGGTTCTCCAACTGATGTCAATCAATGATAAATATAGCCTTAAAAAGGACAATCGTTGTTCGTTAGTCAAACTGAAGCGAAGTTTAGTGATGTAATTATTTGCTAGAAGATCTACACTGTGAACATGCTGAAATCTTAGCTCATGCGAAAGCTTCATTCCGCGCTCAGTAATTAATTCCCTTTTTAAAAAATTCACTTGTCAAATTGGTAAAGCTTATTTTCAGCACACAATTTATCATCTGATATCTACAGTATATATACTAATTTCTCCATTTTATTTATTGCTTATTTAGCTTGGTTTCTTTACGGGCAAGTTCTGCTGTAGGTATCCAGTTATTCGTGTCCAATTGTAATTTGAATAACGCTCAGTTTTCAACTCATCGAATTCATGCTCTATTGAATCAAGACTTTCGTGAAGTACGTCTAACTCTATATACGGGAAACATTCAGTGGCTAAAATCGAAGCAGTTCTGACTTTACTGTCATAAAAAAAATTTGTAAAAAAAATTTATTTTCCACCTATATTTTAAATAAGAATTTTTGTACAAATACCTATGGGAACCACCATCAAACGTCACAGTCGGTGAAGTCCCTGAATGTTGGTCTGAGGCATGTTGCGAGGTGTAGACTACCTGGCTGGGGTCCCTTAGATCATTGGAATCATTGGTTGAGAACTCTTGGTGATATGGTTGAAAATTGGTCGCAGTGGTGCAGATGTATTCATCGTTGATGTCTTCTAAAGCTTAGATATTTGTACTGGAGCTGTATCTCAGTGGTTTAGGGAGATAACAACCAACTATTCGGTCTCGGGTTCGCGCCACCCTCCACCTACTCAAGGTATCAGCAACCATATAGTCTCACTAACCTTCACATCATAAGTGTGACTCATCGCCTACTGCACAAGGTAGCTGAGTACATTTCACTCTCTATACAACTTAGTCCAGTTTGATATCACTGCTTTTCTATCCACCTGTTGTGTGATATGCTACTGTGAAATGCGGCTACTTGAACCGATAGACTTGTGTGCCAGGTTCTAACGTCCATTTTGTCTGTCAAACGTCATTCAGTGTTTCCGATACCTAATCACGTACTACTAAAAAGACTGAAATTTCCGAGAGCCTATTTCAATTAGCAGTCCATATATCGCTTTATATTAACCAAGAAACAAGTGGAGTTGGTTCTGTTTGGAAAATGCACAAAGTACTCAGGCAATTCACTTAAATATCTTTTCAAAGGTCATGGACATTTATGACTCTCACACATCCTAAAAACTTTGTTACACATATGAGACGTGAGTGTCTCTGTGATTCATGCCTAGGAGATGAGCATTATCTGGTAGGTAAACAGTGAATCCTTTATTATAATTTGGTTGGTTGTGGCTAGCAGAAGAATCCAGGACGCGCGTTTCCTATTTGCGATTCGTCAGCTCGATGTACCTGCACTCCAGTACCGAGTAATATTGTCCTCACTGGGACTCGGACCTCCTACCCATCGCTTCAAACGCCAAGACGTTATCACTATGCCACAGAGGAACGATAGCCACTTCTTGTACAACGGGTCGTAGCTTATCGGTTGGGCATATCTGTTCATCACATCACCTTCTCATCACCACATTTGCTTCCTTCATACTGTACTCTCAGTTCTCTGGGATATCTAATGGAAACAACACAACAGGCTAAATTAATAGCTGTGAATCTGTCTCCATTTGCCTATACATGTGTTATAAGAAGTCAACGTACATCAACCAGGAGGAAGTACTGTGAGTCTCCGAAACTTCAATTGTTACAGTAATACAGACTGATAGGATTTAGCACGAGAATAGAATGAGGTCCATTATTGAATTGGAAAGTAGGCGAAACATTATGACTACTGAAATGAATGAGTAAAGTATACATTTTGAGAATCCAGTGGGTGACAGTCTTGTTCGAAATTGGATTAAAGGGAATAAATTAGTTACAAAGACAGACTGTTTCAAAATTCTTCTCATTTTTTTATGATGTTAAGAATAATGAGCTATTGTTTTGGAATTAGTGTTTTCATTTAATTTTTGCCGCTTTTTACTCATATTTTGATTGTTCCATAAGCTATTTTGGTAATTGAAGTGACTGAGCGAGTAATAATAAATACACGATGAAATACTTGAACTGGATACGAATAACAACTAGCTCTCTTTCTAAACCTTTACTTCTTTGAGCCGCAGAAAGACAAAAACCGGCTAATGACCTCATTCGATAAAAAAACATCATTTATAGTACAATTCTCAGGAACATAATAAACCACTAGGTCAAAAGTTATATAACTCATCCTGACTGGTCAATAGTAGGATAGATTGTCCAATCAGATTTTTCGTGACCACACAGTGACATAAAACAAAAATTGGAATCCAAAATTGCTACCTCAGTGATTGATGATCTAAAATGTTGATCCCCATTTTGGTCACTTCTTATCAGTAATATTTTATTCTTTGCTCCTTTTTCCTTCAAAATACTACCTTCTGCGTGTTGCTTCCACTCCTTTGATTGCTCCTAATGTTGTGTATCGAATACTTATTTTTGTAGTATTACAGGACCTTTTCGGTTCTCATTGAATCTTTAATGGTATTCAATCTTTTAAAATATGTAACTAAATTCAAAATCTTTGCAGAATTAGTCTTCCAACTTCATTCAGCACAATATACATAAATTTAGCTGTACTTACATCAGTTTGCAACAAACAGTGAGGAGCGAGAGGAGGGGCATACGCTGGGGAAAAAAACCTAGAAGATTTGCATTTCACCGATGACTTGTGTCTGATGTCGCACAAACTTGAAGATCTACACCTGAAAACTAACAAGTTGACAGAAGAGGCAGGACAGCGAAGACAGGTCTTTAAGTGAACGTAGAGAAGACAGAGGTGATGAAGATACACAACCAACATCACCACCAACAACAACAAACATCAATCATCATTAACATTAGAAACCTAAAGGAAGTAGTCTCTTTCACCTACCCACCTACCTAGGCAACACTGTTTCAACTACAGGCGGCGGCGACACAGACGAGGACGTCAAAGTCAGGATAGGAAAGACAGCAAGACAGGCTTTCATTAGCCTGAAACCAGTGTGGAGATCTACTACATTCAGCATAAAGCGTGAGCAAGATCCGGGTTTTAAACACTAATTCAGTCAAGTCAGTGCTTCTACATAGTTCAGAGACTTGGCGCGTTACGAAAGGGATTTCCAACAAAGTACAGACATTCATTAATATCCGCTGCCTATGATCACTCGATACTGAAGGTCAGATGGATTGCCAGAAAGAATAAGTAACAAGGAACTCTGGCTGGCTGGCTGACAGGCAACGAACCAACCAAGAACCTATCACCTAACAGATATGTAGCAGAAGAAAGTGGAGATGGATTGGACTGGGCATACACTGAGAAGGCCGATTGGGGACATCACGCGCCAGTCCAATCTCTTGAGTGCAATGCAAAGAGAAAACGACTAGTTTGGCGCCCGAGCGTGACATGGAGGAGATCGTGTGAGGAGGAAATGAGAGCTTCTGGGCTGTCGTGGAACCAGGTTCAAAAGTTTTCAGAGAACAGGGCGCATTGGAGACGTGCTAGGGAAGCTTTATGTTCCATTAGGAACCCAAGGGGCAAATAATAATAATAATAAATACATCAGTTAGTAATTTACTTCAAATTTCATAATTTCGAATGCCTCTTTCAGAAATCAACTACACAGAAGACTAATCGACCAATACGTAACTCACATGTTCATTTCTGTGTTTTAGGTATAAGATAAAAATAGGTGGCAGTATATGAAGAGGATCATTGTACATCTTTCTGTTCTACTAGTTAGTCATACGGTGAGCATACAAGTTAAATATCTATGCGCTAAAAACTCATTGTGTAGAGTTTGAAGGATGCATTTCAGTCTGTCTGAAACCTAGAGTATTTTAATTGAGTTCCTGGTGTTTTATATAAAGTTGACAAGATTATCGAAATCATTTTTAGGCCGTGTGGCTAACATGTTGACATTTGAAATCATAGATACCGAATCTCAGTAGGAACAGGCTTTTGCAGGCATATCCAGCTGATGAGTCTCAAATAAAAAGAAACGCATTGTTAGGGTTATATTCACTAGGTAGAATATGAAATGGGGAAATTTTATTCATCCAAAATATACCTTGAATAGTTGTCTTTTTCCCTTTCGACATAAACCAATTCACTTCTGTTAGCAGGACCCTTTAACTATGCATTGAATCTTGTCTTGACACAGGCTGTACATACATTTTGGTATTACGCACCACAGTTCATGCGAGATAACTGGTCATCTTTCTGCCATTGCATTATGAAGCCATGCAAGAAATCAAAGTGGTATTAGGTGACTAATTGCCCCTCTTATGCATTCTACAAATCACAAATGACTGACAACTTGGTTTACTGGAGTTATTACGCTAAAACCACTGAAATCGCTTGCTTTCAGTTATTGATGGAAGAAGAATGCTGAACAGCTGAGTGTTTTGTTTCGATATTGCTATATATACTACTTTTATATGCATTTTGAAAAGTAGCTCTTACTACGTGTTTACAGTTAGTGTTCACACACCCTGGTGACAACCTGTCTGATTTGGAGTATGTAGAGGAATTTCCTATTATTTTAAAAAGGCGCGGACAAAATTCAGAGTCTTCCGAACGCATGAAGCAGACATCTGAGTCAATTTGGTACGCGTTTCGCCCCCCTGTCAAATGCAAAATGACACTCCAGGACTAGTCTGTAACTACGCCTACTTTAATGATAGGGAGTGAAGTGGTGAAATATGTCGACTAGTTTACTTACTTTGTGAGTTGTATCAGCCTGAACGGAGTGGTTGTTGACGAAATCTCAACTCGGATGTAGACGGCATTTGCCAAATTGCTCCATCTTTGGGGCGGGCTGGCAAGATATCGGAATATCTATCAAAGGACGAGTATGCCGCACTACAGCCCATCCCGCCCTGTTATACGACAGTGAGACATGACCATTAAAAGCAGCTACGGGCTTTCGATCACAGATGCCGTCGTAGCAATGCTTGCATTTGATAGAATCACTATGTGAGTAATGTTGAAATTCCGGTGGAAGGTGCTGGGCAAGTCAATTGATGAGGTAGAGCACCTCATTCGACTGAGATAGTTTGAAAATGTGTTGCACATGTCGATCCACCAACCTTCTTGATGTGGCATGCTAGTGTAAGTTATATTAGGTTAGAAGAGGTTTGAGAGTTTCCAGACGAAGATGTGGCACAGGTTCATGAAGTTACTGACTGTTGGTGTGAGCCGTGTGAGGAGATACAATCTACCTTGCTTAGGTCCCCTAAATGATAGGAATCGGTGGTTGAGTACTGCCCCTGGTGACATAGCTGAAATTTGGTCTCAATGGGGTAAATTTATTCACTTCT